GCTCTTCACACACGTATGGGAGTAAGTGTGTGCATGGGGGAGGCACCACGCCAGCCTGCTCTCTGGGCTCGGTCCTGGGAGACCTGGCCAAGGGCTTTCACGTCTGCACCCTCTGCTGGAATTGGAGGGTCAGCGGGAGGCAGGGTTGAGCCTGCTAAACTGAATTTGGCTTGGTCCTCGTGGCTCTCTTAATTGCTCTTTGACAAATAGCCAGAAAGTGGAGGCAAGGAAGGTGGACTTTATTTCCATGTTCCAGGTATAAGAACTTGAAGCTCCAAGAGGGCAGGTGACATGTCTGTGCCAGTGCCCCCCAGCACACCCCTCAGTGACACACCATAGATGGGACAGGGCTGCAGGATGCTGTGAAAACAGCACATTCCTTTGACCACGTGGTCCTAGTTCTCTATCTGTCTCTGTCTCTTTGCTAGCTATGTGACACAGGGGAAGTCCCTTAACTTCTCTGCACCTGTGTTCTCATCTCTAAAATGAGGATAATAAGTCCCACCTCACAGGGAAACTGTGACGCTCACGCAGGAAGACAAATGCAAACTATTTAGCCCAACTCCTGGCATGAGCTAGGTGCTAAGAGTGCTTTTCTTGCTCACTTAAACCACATTTCCAGTGACCACATCCAGGTATGCCAGGGCTGCCACACCAAGCGCCACCTCTGAGAGGGAAGTGGCGGCCTCCCTTTGCCTGCAGCTTTTCCAGCCTCACCGTTCTCGATGGCCCAAACTACAATTTCTCTGGGGGTGGTTCATTAGAAAATGGAGCTGTTAAATAACGTGTTTACGACATTCTTCTGGATCACGGATCCGCCTCCCAAGGGAAAAAACCTAGCACCCACATATCCATCACCCACACTGTTTTCCACAGAATTTCAAGGAACTCCCAGAAACTCTGAAACCACAAGCAAAGCTCCTCTCCCAGGTGGGAGGGCAGGGCCCACGAGCACACACTGGCATCACGAGCGATTTGTTGTGCAGCCCGATTATCCCCCAGTTCACCAACAGCCTTCTCCTCGCCCAATGCCCGGGACCATCTTTCTGAATTACCCACAGGCTGAGGGTGAAAGGCGAGGGAATGAGTGGACAGTGGGGAAGCTGACCTTGAGCAGGACGGTGCAGGGGTGAGTTGGCTTGGCCTGGAGGGGAGCGCAGTGAGGAACTCGTGAGAAGGGGCCAAATGCCCTGAGCAACCACCGTTTCTTACCCCCTTGACTAAGATTGAACAAGAGAAAAAAAAAACAAACGTCACCACACAGAGAGAATCGAAACCCTCTAGCCAGGAAAGCAGATGAACAACAGAACAGCAGCTGGGGCTCCCTTAAAGACTTTAAACACAGAGGACGGATGTGTCTCTTCTTGTTGTGGCTGATGTCCTAGCAGTGTTAAGGAGGTGGAGGCTCTGGCCTGGCTGACCTCACCTGCCAAGGTAACTCTAAGGCCGGAGGAATAGAGTCCCAGCGCCACCACTGGGACTACTGTGCCACCATTGGTTTGAGTGAACAGAAGAGCGCTGTTGTTTTGTTTTGTTTTGTTTTGTTTTGTTTTGTTTGCAGAAGAGGCGTCTCCTAAAGGGGAGGTGCTGTTTGGTGTCTTTGCAGCAGCAGTGTCTGAGTGAGCTCCATGAGGGCAGGCTTGGTGCCCTTGAGCACTGCTGGGCTCTCAGAGCTGTGGGAGGGCAGAGGCAGGCCTATCTGGGCTGCCAGGCTTAGCCACAAGCTCTCAATTCTCAACTCCTCTTCTGGGAGAATTGTCCTGACTTTACTGAGCACATTTTTTTCTGTCTTTTTATAGACAGGGTCTCACCTTGTCACCCAGACTGGACTGCAGTGGAGGGATCATAGCTCCCTGTAACCTTAAACTCCCGGCTCAAGTGCTCCTCCCACCTCAGCCTCCTGAGTAGCTGGGGCTACAGGTGCATGTGCCACCACATCCAGCTAATTTTTAATTTTTGTAGAGACGGGGTGTCCCTGTGTTTCCTAGGCTGGTCTCAAACTCCTGGCTTCAAGCGACCCTCCCACCTCAGCCTCCCAAAGTGCTGGGATTGCAGGCGTGAGCTGCCACGTCTGACCTGTGCACACCTTTGTGTCTATAGTACCTTGACCTTGAGCTCATCCTTGCTGCATCAAAAACATTTTTAAAAACATAGTTTCAAAACCACACATAGTTGAAAATTTGGATAATACAGAATATCAATATAGCAAAGGATAACGTAGGAAACCCATTCAAAAAAGAAGAAAATAAAAATCTGCAACCCTCCCACCCAGATTTGGACGTGATTAATTTTGGTTTAGGCCTTTGCAGTTTGCTTTTTTTCTTTCTTTCTTTCTTTTTTTAGATGGCGTTCTGTTGCCAGGCTGGAGTGCAGTGGATCTTGGCTCCCTCGCTGCAACCTCCACCTCCTGGATTCAAGCAATTCTCCTGCCTCAGCCTCCCGAGTAGCTGGGACTACAGGTGCTCACCACCATGCCCAGCTAATTTTTGTATTTTTAGTAGAGATGGGGTTTCACCATGCTGGCCAGGCTGGTCTCAATTTCTTGACCTTGTGATCCACCTACCTCGGCCTCCCAAAGTACTGGGATTATAAGCATGAGCGTGCCTGGCCCAGTTTGCCGTTCCCCCCCACCCATTCAGCAGCGTTTTAATCCTGTATCCTCCAACTTACCGGGGCTTGGCTGTCCTGTGACTCAGTTTTCATGGTTAGAAAATATGATGGCTACATGCTAACAAAATTCTCCAACTGCTTTCATGAGGTTTCCTCATCCCTGTGGCCAGGAGGGCTGCATATCTCTCCATCCTAGGCGGTGAGGATTAGAAAGCCGGGTGATGATGGGCACAGAGCCATGCAGCAGGCCCAAGGGCCCCAAGGCTCCTCACTCTTAACCCAAGTGGATGTCAGAGAAAAATCCCACCTCGACGAGAGGAGGCACAGACACCAGCCTGCCAGGGCCACGCACCACAGGTCATAGCCATCCAGGATCTCCTGTGAGCCATGCTTGTGCCTCTGTGACACAAAATCAGAACAGCAGCCAGTCCCAAGAGTTTACATCTTGCTTTTTGAGCCAATCAGACCTTTGAACAAAACTTTTCCACAGTATATCTGTCCTGTTCACTTTCAATTTGGAGAACGGTCCTGACCTTTCTTAATGAAATGGGACCCTCCTCTTCTTTGGCAAATAATAAACTCAATGTCTGCTTTAACTGGCTTTGGTGGACTTTTGTGTTTTTCTGTGGCATGGGTGTCACCCCAGTCATCACTGTGGCCGGTGGATAGACACTCCCTTCTGAGGGCTATCACTGAGCTCCTCCTTCCTGTCTGTTCATCTGGGGAGGTTTTCCCAAGTGCCCCACTTCTCGGGGGGAGGCTGAACCCTGTTTTCTTTACCTAGTTGCTCAGAGGTCTCCACTCACAAATCAGTGGCCTCATTGGGCCGGCACTCGTCCACTTGCTTTTCTAGCTGGGACATTCTCTTCTCTGAAACTGTTTGTGGATATGATGAGCGGTCAGAGACGTTTGTTTCTGTTAAGGTGTTGCTGGTGGTGGGGCAATGGTTCCAGCTCCCATCATTCAACCAGATTCCTTCATCCCCCAAACTGTTCTGGATTTAACCTAATCTTAGAAATCAGAGCCCCGTTTGGCTAACTAGAAAAATCAGAACCTCTGGGCAAAGTTACCAGACATTCACTATTGGGAGGAAACAGCTCCAGACTTGAACTTGCCACTGTCCTTCCTTGCCCCCTCTTGGATGGAATAGATGGGCCCTATCCCTGTCCCCCTTCCCACCTCCCCAGTCTTCCTTCATGGTGAGAAGAGCTTTTTTTCTGCCTATTAGCCATGATTTGAAGCCAACATTGAAAAAGTTCTGATTTCCTGGATCGTGGGGAAGCTCCTGTCAGGGCATCCCAGCCTCACATACTGAGTGCCTCTCCCAGCCCTGTGTAGCAAATCAAGTGTGCCTCCTGAAAGCCTCCTTTGACTGCAAGTGCAGTCATCGTGATTATTTTCTCTTACACCATTGGAGTCAGGGTCTCTTGAATCCTAACTGCAAATGTATGCAAACACTATGCCAAAATTTGTGACAAAAATTGGCAAAGAAAGATGTTTTGCCGGTGAAGTGCAGCTAACACCTAAAGGGGAGCAGAGAGCTGTTTGGGGTGGGGGCCCAGGTGAGAGTTGAAAAGGAGGAACAGGGAGAAGGGCAGGGGGTTGGTTGGTGTCTGCAGCAGTGATGGAAGATGCTAGGGCCTTCCTCCTCCCCTGTCTTCCAACGTGGGAGCAGAGAGAGTCAGGGGCTCCCTGTCTCTTTCTTATGGTGGAGGCATCTTCAGAGCTGGGGTGAGGACGGAGTCTCTTAGCCCCTCTTCAGATGCTCCAGACACCACATCTGGCGCTGAGAATGAGGTTGAGGGACCCCCGAGCCCTCCAGCCTTCCTATGCCATTACATTCACATCAAACCCTACCACACCGTCATTCACTTCACATTAAAGCATCTTAATTGTCCCCTGGGAGGTTAAGTTGTGTGGATCTTCTTTTCTATGGTCCCTCTCTATCAAAGAGCCATTTACCCTTTAAGTCTTAACATTGAAAGCTTCTTTTTTTTTTTTTTTTTTTTTTTTTGAGATGGAGTCTCGCTCTGTCACCCAGGCTGGAGTGGGGTGGCGCGATCTCGGCTCACTGCAAGCTCCGCCTCCCGGGTTCACGCCATTCTCCTGTCTCAGCCTCCTGAGTAGCTGGGACTACAGGCGCCCGCCACCACGCCCGGCCAATTTTTTGTATTTTTTAGTAGAGACGGGGTTTCACTGTGTTAGCCAGGACGGTCTTGATCTCCTGACCTCGTGATCCGCCCATCTCGGTCTCCCAAAGTACTGGGATTACAGGTGTGAGCCACGGCGCCCGGCCTAATTTTATATTTTTAATAGAGATGGGTTTTCACCATGTTGGCCAAGCTGGTCTCGAACTCCTGACCTCAGGTAGTTTGCCTGCCTCGGCCTCCCCAAGTGCTGGGATTACAGGCATGGGCCACCGCGCCCGGCCCGGAAGTTTCTTTACGGATCATCTGGTCCAATCCCTCTGTTTTACACGTAAGGGAACTAAGACACGAAGTGGCTTCCCCCAGTTCTCAGATCTGGACTCTAAACCGGTCACACCTCCTTTTCCAGGTGGCATTACTTATTGGACAACAGGCCCCCAGCAATCTAGGTGCCCCTTGAGATACCCTGGGAGCAAAACACGGTTGTCTTCTTTTAAAGAGTCAAGAGTAACTTTGTAAATACACGTCCTTGTCATTCCTAGGAAATTCTGTGGGATTATAGACATCACTAGCTTCTAAGTGTGCTTTTCAAAAGGCCAGGCAGTTGGGCAGACTGCAGTGGTTACTCTTAGACTTGTAAATAACTTCTGGGCTGTCCAAGACTGCCCAGTTTTGTGATTGTTTTACCCTTTGGCTGTTCATAGGCAATGATGAAGGTTTGCGGGAGGAAGAGAAAGAAGGGAATGGCAGAATGGGATGTGGGGGTAATAGAGATACATTTATTGAGCACTAATTATATCCCTGACATTATGCTTAGGGTGTTACCCAATATTATCCCGATTTTACAGACTGAGGAAATTAAGTTTAAGTAATTTGCCCAAGTCTCACAGCTAGCAAGAAGCTGTAGGTTTCAAACTTGGGGCTGTCTGATTTCAGAGCCCAAGCTTGTCACCACCATGCTCATAGGGCAATGGACAAGAGAAAGCCAGGTTTCCGGGAAACTTCTGAATGGCCACAGTGAAGAATGACCCTCTTACATCCTGCTGATTGGATGTCCAGCCTTGATGGGATTTTGAGCATCACAGGGGAAGAGGGGCCAGAAGAGGAGGAGAGCAGTTTCCTGTGTTGTTCCAGACTTGCCTCATGTTGCCCACATTTCTCTGGGGCTGACATATATTTTTCCGGTAGGTGTGGCCTGAGGGTGTTGGGGTTTTACTTTTGTGCTGGTGCAGGCAGTTTTCAGGCTCATATAAACACTCACTCAGCTGTTTATTTATTCATCCAACAAGCATTTCTTAGACACCTCCTCTGTCAATTCTTGAGCCAGTAAGTAAGCATGGTCCCTGACCCGACAGATCTAGCTCAGGTTCAGAGATGCACAACCTAATTCCAGCAAAGCTTTTTGTAGATTGTCTGGGGCAGCTTTTACAACCCTTGATCTTTCCCACTTCTCAGCTATTCCTGTAGCAGCAGGAAGCTCTACTTTGGAGGAATGGCAAACAGATGGAAAAGTGAGGCTGTGAGCTGGCCTGAAGTTTTGGAAAAGGATGTGGAAACCAGAGACTAACAAGAGGATTTGGTGGTGTGTGTGATGTCCCTCTCCCCACTGTTCCATTTCCTTGGGTACTTAAGTTGGGCTGCTGATTTAAGGGCCAACTTCTCATGTAAAAATCCATCCCAGCATCCTCAGCTCAAGTAACTGCCACTTGCCACTTGCCTGCCCCAGCAGAATTAACGGAAGCTGCCAACAGCCCTGCTGACCTCATTGGATGGAACTGTGTCCTCAGCAGACACAAGCTCCTTCTTCTGAGCGAGGCTCCCTCCTATCTCAGAGCAGGAAGTCCTCTTATGAGGACTCCAAACTTCAGACAGAGAAGCAGGGGCCATTCAGTCATTTACTCTGCTCAGTGTCAACCTAAAGGGAAGAGGCTGAGACACAAAGTATAATTTAAAGTTTACTTGAACCAAAATGAGGACAGCTGCCAGGAAGACTCAGACCCAGGTACCCTTGGCTGTGAGCTTCCTACAGCCTTTGTTAAGAGCAGGGTTTTTAGAAAACCAAACCAAACCAAAACAAAAATAACTTTTATTTTAGGTTCAGGAGTACATGTGTAGGTTATACAGATAAACTCATGTCACGAGGGTTTATTGCACAGATTAGTTCATCACTCACGCACAAAGCCTAGTACCCAATAGAGTTTTTTTCTCCTCTCCCGCCTCCCAACCTCCACCCTCTGATAGGCCCCAGTGTGTGTTGTTCCTCTCTTTGTGTCCATGTGTTCTCATCATTTAGTGCCCACTTATAAGTGAGAATATGTTGTATTTGATTTTCTGTTCTTGTGTCAGTTTGCTAAGGATGGTAGCCTCCAGCTCCATTCATGTTGCTGCAAAAGACATGCTCTCATTCCTTTTTATGCCACGAATGTTCATTGCAGCACTATTTACAATAGCAAAGACATGGAACCAACCTAAATGCCCTTCAATGACAGATGGGATACAGAAAATACGGTATATGTACGATACAAGAAGGATTTTAAAGGCAAAAGAAGGGGACAGAGTGGGCTGGTACAGGGTTGTTTGTCAAGAATTCTTACTGGTTTACAGAAATAAATGAATGACTGGCTACTCATTATGAAACTATAGGTGATAGTGTCCAGTGTGGCATTATTATAGCTACCTGTGGCAAAAGCAAGCAGTTTTTAAAAATGAATATATAGCTCAAAAGAAGGAGTGGGATATGATTGCTCTCATTTTACTGTCTCTCCAGGCCTGATGATTTAAAAGGACTCACCTTCCTCAGATGAAAGCTCTTTACTTTTTGCATCAGGAACTCCCTTTTCTGCTTTCTTGGAGTATCGGGATAGGTCCCATGAAGAGCTGCTGGCAGGGACAGACAGAAGCCAAGGAGAGGCCGTGCAAGGAAGCTGAAGTGCTTGGGAGGGGGCAACAGTCTCCCACCTGCAACCAACATTAAAAAGCACTGTCACTTCAGGCTGAGCATGGTAGAAGCCAGTTTGTTAAGTCACACCAAAGTATGTGTTAGATGGACCTGGCTAGTCCTTTACCCAGAGATCTTGTAGCATAACGGCAGGCGGATGGAAAAGACTTAGAAAGCATTAATCACTGCACAAGCTTAGGGCTCAGTCCCTTTTGGGGGGTGGTGAGTAGTAGAAGTGCCTGGAAAATATGTACAGAAACTGTGAAATTGGCAGAGGAAGGCCAATTTGGGATTTGGTTACGGTGGGATCAGAGACATCTGGGAGGATGGAGACAAACACCCAAATTATATCCCTGACATGATGCTTAGTGTGTTACCCAATATTATATCCCCATTTTACAGACTGAGGAAATTAAGGTTAAGTAATTTGCCCAAGTCTCACGGCTAGTCTCACGGGTGCTGGAAGCGAGACTTCATGACTGAAGTAATCATGTTACCCTGAGAATTTCTTTCTAATTCCTGGCTTCAGATTTAAGGTTATGGTTGATGGGTGAAAGTATACAAATCCAGACCTCTCTGTCTTGGACTTTTGGAAGATTTTCTCTGGGCTGAAGTTGTTAGCTAGGTTAAATATCAAGAAAGGCTATAATTGCTTTTTCTCCCTATTGCCAGGAAGCTGGACTTTCATAAAACTCTAGTGGAGGTTCATGCAGCATAGATGGAAAAGCATTGGATTTCAATTTTACTCTGGGCTCTGTTGAGCTGTGTACTCTAGGACAAGCCATTTAACTTTTCAGCTGCGCTCTAGAAGAATTCACACCTATCTTCCAGGACTCCTTTAAAATAATTTTCGAGACAGGCTCTTGCTCTGTCACCTAGGCTAGAGCGCAGTGGTGGCGAGATCATAGCTCACTGCATTCTCCACCTCCTCTCAAGCAATCCTGCTGCCTTGGCCTCTCCAAGCGCTAGAATTACAGGCATGAACCACCACACCTGGCCACAAGACTCTCAACGATTAAGAGGGAGAATAACCAGGACAAAGATATGTGAACTGTAAAAGGCTGTCATCTTACAATGGTGATGGTGATGGTGATGGTCCTTATACTCCTGGGAGGGTTGGTGCACATTCTTGCCTACAGCAATTGTAAGCAGAGGATAATGCTTCAATCTTGAGGACTCCCATAGCAAAGTTAAAAGTACCAATATTACCTGATGTTTAATGTAACTGGACCCACCATCTACTGCTTTATTATGCACAGAATATATGGGGTTGAGGGAGCCTCCGTGAGCAGCACTGAGGATCTTGGTTACAAATGAGTGGAATGAGTAAGGGGGGAGGGGGTCTTTAGCGACCTTTAAGAGCAATATGAACGGCAAGTTATTTTTGTTAAGGAACACAAAGCAAACATTAGCAGTGAAAGGAAGGCAAACCACCTCTTGCCTATTTAAAGCAATAAAGGAAGGGAACAAAGTTATGCAGGCAAAGAGGTGCTTTTATTTCCCCAGTTATGAATCCTGGTAAAAAAACAAAACAAAACAAAACAACTGCACCCAAACCACAAAGACAGTCAGTACCTTCACCTCAACTCCTAATGTGCTGCGTTTCCTTAAAAAAAAAAAAAAAAAAAAAAAAAAAAACCCTGAAAATAAAGTAGTGTCACACTTTCTTCAACTTGCTATCTAATTTGAGTTTCATGTTTATATTCTTTCGAGAAAATCTCAAGACATGACTCGTTTTCTCCTCAGTAGTAGCTGGTTTTATTCAGGCATGGAGTGGGGGAGGGTAAATGTAATTTTTCCAAGTACACATGCATTCATTTACTCAATATTTATTACTTATCGTGTGCCAAGTTGTCTGCTGGATGGGGCTAAGAAAAATAAATCCCTGCCCTTAAGGGAAGGAAAGACGCATACCCCGCTATCTGTAGCCTCCACCCCTGAAAGAAAACATCTAACAGACTTCTGGTTTGGAGCTTGGATACTGACTAATCAGATCTCATCTGCCCTGGCCAATCAGGGCTCAACTGTATCAACCAATCAGAACTAAGCAAGTTTCCATCTTTCATTTGCATAAATAGACCTCATGGGAAACATGGACAGGAAATTTTGCTACCAAAGCCGACTCCTGCTCACGCCTGTAATCTCAGCACTTCAGGAGGCCGAGGTGGGTGGATCACCTGAGGTCTGGAGTTCCAGACCAGCCTGACCAACATGGAGAAACCCCGTCTCTATTAAAAATACACAGTTAGCCGGGCGTGGTGGTGGGCGCCTGTAATCCCAGCTCCTCGGGAGGCTGAGGCAGGAGAATCACTTGAACCCAGGAGGCAGAGGTTGCAGTGAGCCGAGATTGCCCCATTGCACTCCGGCCTGGGCAACAAGAGTGAAACTCCGTCTCAAATATAATATATTTTATTTTTATTTTATATATATATAATAAAATAAAATATTTTATATAAAATAAAAATAAAAATATTTTTAATATTTTTAATATTAAAAATTTAATATATAATTAAATTTTTATATAATATATAATTAAATTAAATTTTTAATATATAATATTAAAATTTAATATATAAAATAAAAATAAAATAAACCCGACTCCTCTCTTCGTTCCCTTGAACACACCTACATTTTACACTTAAGGCTGGGTTTCCCGAGCGTGCAAACTGTCCACTGGAATAAAGGCTCTTTGCTCCAAATTCCTTTTCCGGGAACTTTTGTTGGTGGGGTTTAGAAAGAGAAGCAGTTATTTCTAGGAAATCCGATGAGTGCCTGGAAGGGAAAGAGTGGGCAGTTCTACTGGACGTAGATTCGAGCCAGATCACAAGTGGCCCTGGATGATGGGTTAGGGATTTGTGACTTTATTTTGAAGGCATAGGGAGTCATCGAGGCTTATTGAGCAGGGGAGTGCCATGGTCACCTGGCTGTAAATAGACACTGAAATTTAGAATCTCATTTTTGGAAACGAACTTATAAGATAATTACATGGGTGGGTTTGAGGACGACTTGAGGACATTTCAAAGGGCATAGCAGGTTTGGCTCGCCCTCCTGCTAGTAGCATTTGTTGCTTCTCACTCACACTTTATTTTGCATGGAGAACTCTGCACACATACGCAAGAGGGTTGATTTTTTTCGTAATTCATCTCTGTAACTGAGATAGCCTCAGACACCTAAGAAATGTAGTCAACACTCCTACCTCAAATGCCCAGAGAGAAATTCTATATAGCTGAAAGCGGGGAGCAAGCCACTTAGCCCAGAGGTTTCTTCCTAGGAGGAAGGGCACTGACGCAGGAAACTGTAACATGCTGTAGTGACCAGAAGGATGGACCCTCCCTGCACCTGCTGTGGAGGAGGAGGCTGATGTTGCACTGTGCCTAGCTCTGCCAATCTCGGTTTAAGTCTGGGCATTGCCACTAATTTGCTGTGTGACCTTGACTAAGTCACATTTCTTCTGTGGGCCTTAGTCTCTGCGTCTGTAAACTGAGAGGTGAGACTGGATGGTTTCCAAAATCCATCTGAGTGCTGACATCCTGTGGGCTTGTGGGACTGAATGAGACCACTGAGAGCTCTGGTGTGGCCGGTCTGACGATGCCCACATTTCTCGCCTTTCTCTTTGGTGCTGAGGGAGGCAACACGATGAGATGTGCGTTTGTTTGGAGCCCCGGCCAGGTCTCACAGTCGGCGCTGAGTCCTGGCCCTGCTGTAGGTTAGCAGTGTGAACTTGAGCAAGTCACTTAACCTCTCTGAGCCTCTGTTTTCTTTTCTGAAAAAATAGATAATGAGTCCATGTTCTCTAGCCCAAGAGAAATGGAGGGATAGAAACAAAAAATTAGAGGGACCTGGCTTCCAATAAGTATGACATTATCACTCTCAGGCTAATTGGGTTCATTTTGTGAAAAAAGAAAAGTTAGAATAACAGATTTTGGCAAATACGTTCAACAGTTAGTGACATTACCCTGTTTTGGAGAATAGCTTGGGCCCTTGACAGTTTTATCAATCTGTCAAGAAAGCAGCACTTACTAATCCCCGAGGCGTAGAAACAAAGGAAGAAGTTTGTTTAATGTCTCCTGCGTTAAGCAAATCGATGTTTCTTTTCTACAAGACAAGCTCTTCACCGGCTCCTTCACTTTCTGCTGTACGGAACCTCTCAAATGAATAACCTCATTCATGTGAAAATTCCCCCGAGTGGCCACTGTCATTTCAAATGGTCTCTTAAGAAATTGTGTTAGAGACGGCCGGGTGCGGTGGCTCACGCCTGTAATCCCAGCACTTTGGAAGGCCAAGGCAGGCGGATGATGAGGTCAGGAGATTGAGCCCATCCTGGCTAACACAGGGTGAAACCCCGTCTCTACCAAAAATACAAAAAAATTATCCGGGCGTGGCGGTGGCGGCAGGCGCCTGTAGTCCCAGCTACTCGGGAGGCTGAGGCAGGAGAATGGCGTGAACCCGGGAGGCGGAGCTTACAGTGAGCCGAGATTGTGCCACTGCACTCCAGACTCCAGCCTGGGCGACAGAGCAAGACTCCATCTCAAAAAAAGAAAAAAAAAGAAATTGTGTCAGAGACGCAGGATGAGTTCACACGACAGTGAGGAAATCTGGAAGCAGCAGGTGTTTGGCCCGGGGAAGAGCCACTCCGATGGGGAAGGTCACACGGGCACCCGAGCAGTCTGAAAAGAGACTTCTTGCCTCCGGAGCTTAGTCGGAAGCCACAGGCTGATTGTCCCCAATCCTCCTGATTCCAGGCAGAGGGAGTTTAACGCGAGCCGTTCTCAGGAATCGCACAGAGACGAGGTGGAGGGAAATCCACCCTTAAGTGTGGAAACCCTCTGAGACCCCCAGCAAAGCTCGTTCCAATGGATGCTGGTCTGAGGAGAGCTCCTGAGTGCTGTGGCCTCCGAGACCAGCTTAAGGATAGCATACCCAGACCCCTGTCGACTGTGGACTTTTCCACTCAGACACAACATGTATAACATTCAACCAGCAGATGGACATAGGAGCATTTCTCAGAAGGCTAGAAAGCAGTTTCACCGAGGGGCGGGGCAAATCTGATCAG